GCGGGCAGACCCTTACCGGGCTGGCCGTGCAGTTGGAGACACAGGTTTTGCCATCGCTGCCCAAGTAGAAGTTGGTGGGACAAGCACACTTGTGCCCCCCACCTGGCGAGAGGAGGCAGAGGTTGCTGCAGCCAGCGTTGTTGGTCTTGCAGGGATGGTTGGGAACTGGGGAGAGCAGGGAGACAACCGCCAGTCAGACCAAGGCGGGGGACCCTCAGGGTGGCACAGGAACCCCCAGCTGACAGACCGTTCTCACCGCGCACGCCCCTCCTGCACCCCCTGCCCAAACTGGTGTCCCTTTGCACGTCGTGCCCAGCCCCAGCCTCCGGCCCAGGGCTGCTCCACAGCGCCAGGGCCGCCCCAGCCCCTCGGCTCACCGTCAGGCTGGCGGTACGGGTGGTAGATGTGGATGTCCATGGGGCGGTGCAGTGTGCTGATCAGCAGCGTCTTGTTGGCTCCCGTAGTCTTGTGGGCCCGGTTGATGGACTTGGTCTCCCAGTCGGTCCAGTAAATGAAATCCTCAAAGAGGGTGAGCGCGAAGATGTGCGGGATGTCCTGGCTCAGCACTGCAAGGGGGAGCGGGCGGCTCAGCAAGGGGCTGCCCCACACCACCCCTCCCACCGCGCAGCCTCTCTCCAGGGACAGCTCAGCCAGGGGACAAACCCCTTCCCCTGGTCAGAGGCACGGAGCAGCTGCCGGAGCTGGGGACCATACCCAGCAGCCCTGGCTCCTGTTCCCACCACCCATCCAAAGCCCACACCCCGCAAAGGCCTGGCGGTGCTCCGGACGCCCTGGCACTCACCCGTGTGCCGGTTGGAGCCGTCCAGGCTGGCGAACTCGATGTAGTCCTCCCGCGCATCGGCCCAATAGATCCGACTGTTGATGTAGTCGAGGGTGAGGCCGTTGGGCCAAGTTATCTTGGTGTCAACGATGACGCTGCGGTTGGTGCCATCCATGCCGATCTTCCCGATCAGTGAGTGGTCCCCCCAGTCCGTCCAGTATAGGTACCTGCGCATGAAACAGCAGAGCAGAGGGAGGCTGAGTCCGGCCAAAGCCACAGCAGCCACCGCACTCTGCCCATCATGTGGCCAAACTGGGACGCCTGGGCATGAGGGCACAGGGCAGGGAGAAGCAGCCAGGCACCCCGGAGGCAAGGGAGAAGGCCCCATCCCATGTCCCAGCCTCCAGGACTACGGCAAGATGGCAGAGGGCCACCAGACCCTCCCTGCATCGAGGGGAAGGTCCAGGTTCCCCAGGCTCTCACCCATTCTGCACATCCACCACCAGCGCCCGGGGCTCACGCAGCCCTGAGTTCACCAGCACAGTGCGGTAGGCGCCGTTGAGCTTGGACACTTCGATGGTGTCCCGACCTTTGTCACACCAGTACAGGTTGCCTCCCACCCAGTCCACAGCCAGCCCGTCAGGGTTGCTGAGGCCAGTGCGGTGAAGAACCTGTTGGGAGAAAACAGAGGTGTTGGGCTGCACAGGGAGAACCATAATCTGTCCTGGTCCCTCAGGGATGACAACATCACCCCTCCCCAGCGCATCGCTCTTGCAGATGGTCCTGCCCAGCTCCTTTCCTCACTCCTCTCTTCCCCCAACCCTCCTTCCACACCGCTTTGGCACAGAATGGAGCCCACCTCTGATCGGGATGGTGCTGCGAAACGTCCCCGTTAGCAACCTGGGCTGACGCCCTGAGCCCAGTGATGACCCCACAGTAGGGCTTGTGCCCTCTTCCCTGGTGGATGCCAGTCTGGGCCCCTCCAGGCAGCCTCTGTGCTGAGGTGGGTGAGGACCGGCTGCCCGGACCGGGGGTGCCCGAGGGGCTGCCTCAGTCCCCCACCTGAACGTTGCTCCCGTTGATGTGCATGCGGCGGATCATGCTGCCCTGTGTGGTGACATCTGTCCAGTAAATCATCTGCTCTCGATAGTCAAAATCCAGAGCCACCGCGTTGTTCAGCCCCTGGGAGGAAGGGAGAAGGGTTGAAACAGCCTCACCTGCTGGCACAGGGTCATGGGGACTTTGCAGAGACCAGCGAGGCCCCAGCCTCAACACGCGGTCCCTGCAGCAGAGAAGTTAAAAGCAGCAACTGAAAACTGTTGTGCAGTTGCTGCTTTATAAAGGTCTGCTACCAAAGAGCTACTGTTTACACGGGACCTCCTGTATACTCGTAGTGAGAGCTGCTGTTTATGCAGGATCTACCACCTGCCTGGGAAGCAAAGAGCCCAAGCTCCCAGGCTGGCAGGTCTCCCACACTGCAGGGCCCCTCTCCAACCCCAAACCCCCGGCCATGTGGGGCTGGTATCCCCCTCCTGCTCCCAGCTCCTCCCGCACCTGCTTGAGCAGCGTGTAGTTGGAGCCATCCAGGTTGAGCTTCCTCAGGTAGTACCGGTTGGCAAAGATGAGGAAGGGCTCTTCATCTGCATAGGGAAATCATGAGAGGTGTCAGGGAAGCGCCACTGGGCCGTGGGCAGATCCCCTGCAGACCACTGCCCTCCCTGCCCCACCACTTTCCAGCTCTCCTTTGTGAGTCAGGTGCAGCTACTTTGCTTTTCAGAGCACAATGACCGACTCCAATGCCGGCAGCATCCCACGGTTGCCAGAAGAGCATCCCTGCCGCCAAGTCTGCTCTCAGGTCTCACCTGTGACAGCTTTACAGCTGGTGGGGTTGTCAGGTTTGAGCTTGTAGCCCTCTATGCACAGGCACTTGTAGCTCCCCAGAGTGTTGATGCACTTCTGGCTGCAGGGGTAGGTGGTGGAGCACTCATCGATGTCAATGCATGTCTTCCCGTCGTCCTTCAGCCGGAACCCGGGACGGCATCTACACTGCAGGAGGCAACAGGGAGCTGTTAGATGTATCCAGGGCCCGCACGCTGGGATGTGACAGGCATCACCACGGGACAAGCAGGCTCAGGCACAGACAGCTTGCAGACACAAGAGCAGCACACAGAAGCACTGGCCAAAGTGCCCGTGTGTGCATCCCTTGCCCAGATGGTGAAGGACAGAAGCAACCCTCACGCTGAGTGTCTGTGGAGGAGGAAGGGAGCAGGAGAGCATCCCTCCAGCCAACCCTCCCAGCCTGCGGGCTCCTACCTTGTACCCGATCTTGAGGTCCTCGCACTCCTGGGAACAGCCGCTCAGCTTCTTGTTGAGACACTCGTTGATGAAGCAGTTGAGCTCATCCGAGCCATCCGTGCAGTCGTTGTTGTTGTCGCAAAGCAGCGCCTCTGGGATGCACTTCCCGTTCTTGCAGAGGAAGAAGGAGTCGTTGCACTTGTTCTCTGCAGCGGGATGGAGAGGAGGTGGCAGTGGTCAGCACGAGGCAGCTGGGCAGCCCTGCTCCCTGGCTGCGGCACCTGCAGGTACCTGGGCTGCTGCAGCGCGGGTTCTTGGGCGCCTCGTCCGAGTGGTCGTGGCAGTCGAACTCGCCATCACACTCCCATTGCCTGTTGCTGAGGCAGCGGCCGTTGGCGCAGCGGAACTCATGGGGGCCGCAGGTGGGATACTCTGTGGAAAGGCGGTGGGCTCAGACAGCACGGCCCACCTCCCCGAGCCGGCCGGGAGAGACGGAGGCACCGTAGCAGCTGAGCTGCACGGAGTTGTGGCATGGGTGCCTAAACCTCCCTGCATCCCACCTTGGGACAGGGCTGTGCCACAGGAGCCAAGGAGGCGGCAAACGTAGGTGGTTTTGGATCTCTCCAAAACTGCTCTGTGCCAGGGTGGACACCCTGCAGTGGGGCTGGGGGAGACAGTTCTCCTGCACCAAACCCTCTCACTCCCTCTCCTGGTTCCCCCTCACCCTGCTCTCACATCAAACCCCTTCTGGATGATGAAGACCCTTCCAGGGTCCCGTCTCAAAGCCCAGGAGACCCAGCATGGCTGCCAGGGCCAGTGCTACAGGAAATATAGCCCTTGCTGTCCTCCCCAGTCCCATGGACACCCACCACACTCTGGGGACTCGTCCGAGCCGTCGCCGCAGTCATCATCGTGGTCGCAGACAAAATGCTTGGGAATGCACTGTCGGTTTCCGCACATGAACTCCCGCTCATCGCATGTGTTGTTGTACACTGCAATGAGGCATCGCTGTCAGCCCCCCGCCAGACTGCGTGCTCTCCTGCCTGCCCCCCTGCAACGAGCCCTTTGTCTTGGGGCACTGGGGACAAGAGCTGAGGCACAGTCCAGTCAGGACAGGGACTCCCACTCCTTCGCCCCTAGCCTGAGCCCCGGCCTGTGCCCGTGTCCTTTGGCTGCGAACAGCACCCAGGCAACGCGGTGCCTTTGGCTATTGCTCCGTGGGATGACGCTCCTCCTCTCTGCACAGTCAGGGAAAGGCACCCAAACGTGCCCGTGTTCCCATCTGCTGTGACCACAGCACCGCAGTTTCCTCCTGCAAGCCTGGCGGGGAAGCGGCCAGGACGAGGCATCCGATCTGCTGCTAACAGGGGCCGCGGGGAGCGGGGCCAGCCCCCCCGGGCAGCTCTGCCTGCACTACACTCCGCTCCTCTCCCGCCCCTGCCCCACCACGCACCCATCCCTCCGGGGACTCACAGCAGCCAGCAGCGAGGGTCTCGTCAGCTCCGTCCGCGCAGTCCTTGTCTCCGTCACAGAGCCAGCGCTCTGGCACGCACACGTAGGTGCCCGGGCACTGGAAGGACCCAGTGCTGCAGGTGGTCAGCCCTGGGGAAGGGAGAAGCAGGACGGAGGCTGGTCACCCCCATGGCTGGAGAACCGGCACTCTCGGGCTACGTGGGTCCCAGGGCCCAGGAGAGCAGTGAGGACCGCGGCACAGGAAAGCAAAGGTGGGAGAAGGGATGGGAAGAGGCAGGAATACACAACAGATGGAGCAGCAGCACAGGCAGTGGCTGAGAGAGGTCAGGGCAGGGGCTGGAGCAGACTCACGGCAGCGGCTGTCCTCATCAGAGCCATCCCCGCAGTCGTCTGCCCCATCACACACCCAGAGCTTAGAGATACAGCGGTGGTTGTTGCACTCAAACTGCACGGGGTAGCAGAACTTGTCTAGGAGAGGAGGAGAGGAGAGGTCAGAGCTAGGGTGATGCCGGGGGGACACAGCAGCAGCGCACAGCCACGCTGGGCCAGCCGGGCTCCAGGGCTGCAGCCCAGGGTGGTGCGGGGGCTACTGCTCGCCCAGACCTGGCAGTGCCCACACTCCACGCTGACGGGCACTGCAGCTGTAGGAGTGGTGTGGGATTCCCTGCTCTGGAGCTGGGGAGGTTCCCCAGTTCCTGAGCACCGTTTGTGGTTTGTTCAGGGAGGCTGGAACTAAAAATGTAACTCAAGTGAGCCGTAACTGGCCACCTTCAAGATGACCATGGACACCCATGTGTGCGCTGAGCGAACAAACACACCAGGACACTTGCATTGGTCACAGTTAGAAGTCCAAGCTTGTGGAATAAGACTGCAGAGTGGGAAGAATCTGGAGCCTGGTCCTTGGCAAGGGGACATCAAAGTGATGACAGGGTCCTGCCTCCCCTCCAGCACGCTTGCGCTCACCACCCCATGCTACCCCCCCGGAGTCCCATGCTCTCCCCACCCTGCCGCTCACTGCAGTGAGTCTCATCTTCTCCATTCTCGCAGTCATCCTCTTTGTCGCAGGTCCAAGTCATGGGGATGCACCTCCCGCTTGGGCAGGCGAAGTAGTTGGCTGGACACTTGGGTTTCCTCCCGCCTGGTTTGAGAAGGAAACATCGGGTAAGGGTGGTGGCGCGGACGTGTCCTGCCTCCTCCCAGCCTGGAACTGCCCAACTCTGAAGAATTCCTCCCCAAAAGCCCTCTGTGATCCCGCATCAATCAGCGCCCGGCAGCACCCTCCGTGCAGGAGCTGTGCAGGCAAAGGGTGATGGTCCTGGTGTGCAAACAAAGCATCCACCGCCCAAACAGACCCCAACGAGGAGCACCCAGCCAGAGGGCCGGCATGACACCCCTGCTCTCCCCAGCCCACACCCCCTTTCCTCTCCCCACTCTCACCCGGGCAGTTCCGCTCATCTGAGTAGTCTCCGCAATCATTCGCCCCATCGCACACCCAGCTTGGAGCATAGCACAGAGAGGTGTGTTCGCACTTCTGGAACGTGGTGCCCTTCACCCCCAGCTTGAAATAGCTGCTGCAGTCGGTGGCAGCTGCAAGGAACCACAGGAGCCCCAGGTGATGGGTGCTGCTTGCCGGTGGCACAACCCTTCGGTCCAGCTCCCACCACGTGGCACGAGCCCTGGCCCTGCTGCTGACAGCCCTTCCCTCCCCACAGCAGCACCGAGTTGACTCTGCCCACGTGTGCCCCGAGCTGCTGGGACCACATCAAGTGTCTGTGATGGGCTATGGGGTGGTGAGGTGCTAGGCACGGCGCGGGGGGCCGCAGCCATGGGCTGGGACCACGTCCCGCTGGTGGGCTGACCTGGGCTGGCCTCTGCTGATGGGGTGGGAGCCAGGACCCTCATCCCTCCCCCCTTTGGCACAAGTCCCACAGACTGAAACAAGGTGCAGGGACCCAGACCCCCGCCTGCAGGTGCAGAGGGCAGGAGCATCTCCAGAGCTACCGCAGGGCAGAGCTGGGGAGGCAGCAGGGAACATGGGGCAGCAGCTGGGGCACTCACTGCAGTTCATTTCATCTGAAGCATCCTCGCAATCGATGAACTGGTTACAGCGGCTCGAATTCCCAATGCAGGTCCCATCTCGGCAGCGAAACTCGGTAGCAGCGCAGCTGGTTTCTGCAAGGGGGAAGCCCCCACAGCGGATGAGGCTGGGCTGGGCGACCCAGCGAGTACAACCACCCAACGACCCCCACTCGCGTTGCACACTTGCATGCACCCGCTGCCCAGCACAGCTACGGACCGCCTGATCCCGCACTCCCAGCTCTGTCCCCTCCCGGCTGAGACTTGGTGCCTCTCCGGCTTCCGCACTCTGCATGGCAGCCTGAGCTCATCTCCTGAGCTGGCCTGTCGCTGGCAGACCTGCATGGGCTCAGGGAAGCTCCTGACCTTCCCCGTCGGTTCTGAACCACGCAGACAGGCTCCTGCAGCCCTGCAGCTCTGAAGGGATGCTGCTCTTGGGGCTGCTTGGATGCCCTTTTCTCAGGGACAGGGGAGCCATGAGGAGCAGCGACACTACACCTCGCCATCTCCTTGTGTTCCTCCCGGGTGTCAACCACTGCTCTCGGGAAGCGCTGGGTGCTGCGTGGCCGTGCTCGGGAGTTCCTCCTCCCAGCCATCAGGGAGTGAGCTTTACAGAACGGTCTGCAGCACAAGCAGCACGAGCAGGATTTAGACCTTGACTCTCCGTTAAGCCCTGGCTCTGCTCCGATCCTGTCAAGCTGAAGGTAACTCTTCCCCGAAGCCTCTGTCCCTGTCCCAGACGGCTGACCGAGCCCTGGCAAGGGCTGGCCGGGAGCCAGACAGCCTGCTTACTGTTACACGGCACTTCGTCCGAGTTGTCCCCGCAGTCATCCACACCATTGCACCAGTAGCGGCTGGCGATGCAGCGCCTGTTCATGCAGTGCAGGTAACCCTTCTTGCACTTGCGGCTGCCTGTGAGGGAAGAGGAGGAGGTGAGTGCGAGGGGAGGGCTGGCACTCCCGGGTGTCTCAGCTCCTCGGGGACCCTTCAGCAGGGGAAGAAACTACACAGGCAGGATCAGGAAACGGGGTCCCTTGTGCTGTGCTGGCAACACTGTGGGGTGAAGCTTGGCCTTTGTGCAGCTGAGACCCCTCCCGGCTGAGGAGCAAGAGTTGGTGTTGAGGGAGGGTGCTGCAGCCCCCACCAGGTCGGCTCAAGGTGTCTCACTCTCCAGCCTCTCCCCCAAAAACTAAAAAAGATCTGGAGCCCTTAAAGCCTGGCCTGGCTGGGCCCATCTCTCGAGGGCAGGAGGGACTGTGAGGACTTGAGGGACACGAGAAGACACGCAGGCATGCTGGCTCCCTTTGCTGAGCAGAGCTGACAGCTCGACCAGGGTGCCTGCATGTGCTGGGGGGTGCGTGCATGTGCTTGAGCAAAGCAGCAAGAGGAGGAACCTTACTGCAGTAGGACTGCTTCTCATCTGACTTGTCCTTGCAGTGGACCACGCCGTCGCAGGTCCGGCTGAAGTCAATGCAGTCGCCGTTCCCACACTCGAACTCATCGTGCACGTTGCAGGTGGAATTCAGGGCTGGGGAGGGCGTGGGGAACGTCAGCTCTGCCGGGCTGAGCCCGGCCTCTCCTCCCCTTCCCATCCCCACCAGCTCCCGCTTCCACCTCCCCTCCACCTTTGCAGGTGAAATCCTCCTGCAGGACACGCTCGCCGCGGCAGGAGCAGTTGACGTGTCCTTTGGGTGTGAGGAGACAGAGATCCTGACAGCCGCCGTTGTTCACCCTGCATGGGGACAGCTCACCTAGGAGAGACAGAGAGCAGTCACACCGGGGACAGTCTCAGCAGTCCCTTCCCCTGCTCCTCCCTGCTGGGGAGAGGAAAAGTAGGGGTTCCTCCCCAAGCTCTTCAGACGGGGCTATGGTGGACGCATGGGGTTGGGGGCACCCAGTCTTGGAAAGAGGATGCCCTGGGAAGAGCACGAATGGGGCAAACTCTCTCTCTCTTCAGCCTGCAGAGGGTCTGGAAATGGACAGGTCTTGGCATGAGGGTCCCACAGGGGCAGTGACAGGCCAGGCAGGATGGTGGGACAGGTTCCCCCTTCCCCTGGCCTGCGCAGAGGGTGGAAGAGCCGCGCTGCCCGGTGGGAGGCTGAGCTGTCCGCGATGGGGGGCAGAGGAGCGGGGGCCTGGGGTGGGGAGGTTGTGGGTGATGGGGGGTCGCGGGGGGTCCTTACAGCTATCGGTGTCGTTGGCCACGGCAATGATGCCCATGGGCTGCTGGGGGATGTCAACACGCAGAAGCTTCATGTCGGTGCCCACATACTTGTTGGCTCGTTGCACGGCCCTGCGCACCCAGTCCGTCCAGAAGATGTAATCGCCGTAGACAGCCAGGCCAAAGGGGTGCACAGGCTCTGATTTCAGGATCACCTGCCGGACATTGGCAAACCATGAGCGTGAGGGAACCTGGCTGTGGGATGCAGCCCCCAGCACTACCCTAAACGCATGCCATCCCCATGCGTCTGCCCCGTGGGAAGACCCGACCTCCCCGTGCCCCGGGAACAGCTCTGCACTCCCAGGACAATGCACCAGCCCCAGTTCCAACACTCCTCGCTCTCCTCTTCCATCTCTGCCACTGAGGCCAGGTCTGGACTCACGTGGCGGTGGGAGCCATCGTATTCACAGCGTTCAATTTTGTCCAGTGTGGCATCAGAGAAGTAGATCTTCTCAGCCTTGTGGTCAATGGCCAGCCCATTGGGTGTTCGTATGTCCTGGTCGATGATGATGAGGACGTTGGCACCAGAGAGGGTGGCACGCATGATGCTGGGGTGCTGCTCGTTCCAGTTGGTCCAGAACATCAGGCTGGAAGGGGAGAGATACACGATGCCTTTGCGACCCCAGCTCTCTGCCATGTAAGTGTCGGCTCAGCCCACCCCTCTGCTGCTGTGGGGCTCCCAGGGGCTTTGGGATGGATGCGACATTGTCCCCGCATAAGAAGGGGTGGGAGAGGGAGGAATGAGGCCACTACAGCCGGATGGGAAACGTGGAACCCCATGGTACCAGCCGGGCAGAGAAGGGGATGGGATGGGGTTTCTGTCTTTGCTTTGGGGTGCTGAAGGACGTGTGGGGAGGAGGGGCACAGGGCCTTTCCTCCCTGGGGTCCAAAATTCTCTGTGCTGGGAACTAGTGCTTCCTCCCCAGTGGAGGAGAGTCCGCCTGGACGCTGGCCCTGGGACCACATGGACACCCGGGCAGGCTGGCTGGACCACCAATGGCCACTCACTTCTGGCACTCATCCAGCACGAAGGCCCGGGGGTGATCGTCCCCCGACATGGTGATCACCGTCTCCCTCTCGAAAGCCCCCAGGCGGCTCTGGTCCACGGTGTGGCGGGTGATGGTGGAGGTGGTGTAGCTTGTCCAGTACAGCGTGTCCCAGCCGCGGTGGTACGCCAGCCCCTCCACCGAGCCCACGTCTGCAGGAGGGGAGGACAGGCAAGGGTCGTGTCCGGCCCATGCTGACAAGGCCGCCCAGCTCACTCCACACAGCCAGTGCGGACCACGACACTTGGATGCGGCTTCTTTGTCAGCCTTAAGTTATTGCTTTTAATTGCACCCCAGAAAAACCCCTCAGGGGCTCTGACTGCTTGCTAACACGGCGCCAATGTGGCATCACCTGAGGGGACCCCGCAGGGCTGGGCTGGTCTGTGCTACCAGGTGAGCTGAGACCCCCAAGGAGACTTTAGGGCCCCCCGCCCCGGGCAGCCTCTCCTACCAACCAGGTAACTTCCTTGCAGGAAGGCTGAGGGCCGTTCACCTACGATGAAATGAGGACTTGAACTTGGCTTTCAAGCTCGTGCTCTGATCTTCTCCCCTGCACTGGCCAGGCCTTGCTCTGGGTCCCCCTGTCCCCACAGTGGTGGCGCTGGGAAGGGAAGGGTCTCCCTCTGCCAGGGGAGAGCTGAGGCCCAGAGGCACAAAGTGGCAAGATGAAGACTCGTGGCAGACCAGGGAGACCTTCCCTCCCGCTCTCAGGCCAGGAACTTGAACTGTACACCCATCCTTCCTCCCTCGTTAACGATCAGCAAAAGGTTTAATGAACCGGCTACGACAGATGGGCTCCGCTCTCCTGATCTCAGTGATAACAGCCATCCCAAGTGCCAAATGTAAATACACTCATTAGCGAGCACATCTATAACCCTTGCTGGAGGTGCTCCCTAGCGATGCAGAGCAACAGACGTGGTCCTTTCAACTGCCGTAGGAGCCAATAAAACCAACCAAGGGCAAACGGAGGGCTGGAGGTGAAGACGGGGCCAGGCATGGCACGGTTTGCTCAGGTTCGACAGGTCTGTCTTGGAAGTCAAATGCAAACACAGAGCAGATCCCAAGTTTGCTGCAGTGCCTTGTTTCTAGAGCAATGCATACCCACGTGCATGCCTGAGCCTCGTGATACACTCTCCTTGCCAGAAGAAGCTCTGCGGACGGCTCCTGACACTTGCATCCTCTACCACAGGCTGCTGCCTCTCCTAGAGGCTCTGGTAGAAGCTCACAGCTGAACCCTTAACAGCTGCCACTCAAAACACCTCTTGAAAACACCAAAAAACGCTAAGCGAGAAAAGGAAAGAAAGCCCTTGGGCAGGGAAGGAGGGAGTTCAGGAAGAGGTGACGGGGGAGAACAGGAAAGAGGTCTGGGGGCAGATGCTAGCAGAGGGAGCCCGGTGACACTCACTCTCCACGATGGTCTTGCGCCCTGTGCCATCATCGTTGATCTGCTGGATGTTGCCGAAGTGGATGTCACTGTAGAATATGCGGTTGCTGCCCTTGGAGCCGTAGCGGTAGTCAAAGGCCAGGGCAATGACGTTCTTCATGTGCTCTGCATCCTCAAAGGGCTTGATGGGCGCGTTGAGGTTGTTCTCGTCTGACAGGTGGATGCTCTTGAGGATGGTGCGCTCTGAATACAGCAGGTAGCCATCGTAGTCCCGGCAGCTCACCCCATCCTCGGACAGCATGCCGTGGGCGCAGGCACACGTCCTCTGCCCGTTGCCCCGGAACAGGCAGAGCTGCTGGCAGCCCCCATTGCTCTGCGCACAGATGTTGGTGCCTGGGGAGGAAAGAGGGGATTGTTCGAGGAACTGGACAGGCTCTGTGTAGGAGGATGCTCCCGCTTGGCCACTTTTCACCTCTCCCCGCTCCCAGAGGAAGCGAGTGAAGAAAAGTGCTCAGCCCACGGCACGACACGGTTCTTTGACGAGGACACAGTGGCCCATTTGTTGTTTGTTTCTCCATCCCCCTCCCCACATCTGCCTGCCGTGGGAGCCCAGCTCGGGCAGCCGTCGGCGCTCAGCAGTGCTGCACGAGGGGCTGACACCCCGCTCCTGGACGCACCCTTCTGCCTGGCCCGGTTGAAGACTTTGATGTCCTTGAGCTGCACGCCGATCCCTGTCCGCAGGGACACCGACTCGGTGGCATTGTCCTTGTTGCCTCTTTTGATGGAGCCATTCGCATGAGTCCTAAGGATGGACAGAGTCACCGAGCAGCCAACGCGGGGCCCACCTCAGCAGCACCCTGTAGTGGTACAACCACCGTCCCCATAGCACCCGCCAGCTCCCCCCACCCTCCCGCATGGCTGGTGCCCCCCCAGCACCACTGGACCCTTTGGGTGCCATACCTGTCACTCCAGTAAATGTACTCCTCGAAGACCGACACTGAGAACATGTCCATATTGTTGCTGGACAGGACGACCTCTCGGTTTTCACCTGTCTCCAGGTCAATTCGTTCAATCTTGTCTGTCCGGGCATCGCACCAGTAAAGCTTCCCGTCCTGAGGCGATGAGAAACAATCCCAGTCAGTAATGGAGCAGCGCACCAGGGGTGGCACTAAGGCACCCTCTGCACCTCCCACCACGTCCAACAGAAGGTCCCAGGGTTCAGACAACAACCACCCTGGACAACCCTCCCTGCACCGGAGAGGAGACTCCAGGGCCCTGAGGAGGGAAGCCATGTCCCCAGAGTCCCCACCAGCGGGGGCACAGCTGCAGGGACCTTTGGGACCGGCACACTCCCACCAGGCCCCAGTGAGGCACCATCCTCCCAGACGGTGGCTGTACCTCATAGTCAACGGATATTCCGTTGGGCCAACTGATGCTGACGTTCACCAGCACCATCCGCTCAGTCCCATCCAGGCGCGACCGTTCGATGCGGGGGTACTGGCCCCACTCTGTCCAGAACAGATACCTGCAGGGGACAGCAGGGACGTGACCACAGGGCTGGTCAGAAGCAGCACCCTTGGGTCTTTTGGCCATCAGAGCAGGGGACAAGCGCCTCTCCCCCTCATCCCTCCACACCGGGGCCTCAGTCCAGACCCCTGATGATCTGCCAGCCTCCTGGGTGCCTTGTGCTTGCAGACCACACTGCAGTGGGGAAAGGAGCGCTACGTTGCAGCTGGACGCAGCCCAGAAACCAGCCCGTGTGCCTCGCACATAAGGTGCTCTTCTCCATCCTTCCCTGGATCCAAACAACTCTCCTCTCCCTGTGGCTCAGTCCAATGCTGGAGCTGGTCTGGGCAAGCTCCACTTGGATTTTCTGAGGTGTTGGCACCCACAAAGTCACGGGGAGTTCCCACAAAGCTCAGCCCACCAGCGAAAGGGCGGTTAAACCCAGCTGGTGTGGACACTGGAGGCATGTCCCTTCGTGTGGCAGGAGACCTACGAGTCCTTCTCCACTGCACGCAAATGGCATGGCTCTGCCGGGACAGTGCCAGGGGTCTCCGGTACGTGCCCACCCCCCACCTGATGGCCCTCTCCAGGTGGCTTTGTGCAGTGTCTCACCCCTTCTCTGGATGGACTGTGATGGCCCGTGGTTTGTCCAGCCCCTGAGAGATGACCACGTAGCGGAAGGACCCGTTCAGCCTGGCCACCTCGATGACGTCGAAGCCCTGGTCCGTCCAGTAGATGTTTCCTGCAGAGGGGACAGTGAACACCTGCCCGAGCCCCACTCCCCAACCGCCCATCCGCTCCTGCCTGCTCCAGAGCCCCATCTCACCGGCGATCCAGTCCACGGCGATGCCCTCCACGCGGCCAATGCCATTGGTGACCACGTCCTCCCGCCACGTCTGGTCTCGCTTGGCCCGGCTGATGGTGCTCAGACCCATGTCCACCCAGTAAATGGTGTCGTTCTCTGAGGGGGGCCAGGCAGGAAAGCGGGGGTCAGTAACCCCCTCCGAGTCACTCCACGGGTGGCACAGACTGGGCTGAGCCCGCAGCCCCAGCATGGGGACCTAAACCCTCCCTCACCCGGAGGTGCCGAGGGGAGATGCTCTTGGGCAGAGCACTACCAGAGGAGGGTCTGGCGATGGTCTCCCTTGCACTCCCCCTCCCCACCCTCTCCAGTCCCATTGTCCCGCTCCCAGCCCCCAAGTCACCTGCGTGGAAGTCGATCCCCACAGCCAGGGAGGTCCCCGACACGGGCACGAGAGCATCTGACTTGTCATTGGGGTCCAGGGGAATGCCACGGATCCCCTCGTGGACCGAATACAGCAGGAAGGAGCCAACACCTACGACACAGATGCGGTGACAGTCAGATGCATCCCAGAAACCACACGCTGTCCCTTCAATGGACAGCCACAACTCACGGACAACTGCAACATCAGCCCGTGGAAGAGCACAAGCCTGGCAGGGCTGGTGGGAGGGCTTGACCCTGCCACCACAGCAGCACCGTGAGTCCCCAGCCCGGGCAGACAGCCCAGGACAGCAGAGGGACAGGCAGGGCAGGGCAGAACCGCACCGCACCGGCTGGACGTGCTGGCAGGCTGTGCAGCTGCCTGAAGCATCCCCGCACAGGCAGCCCCTACGCCCACCTCTCAGCTGACTCTGCGGCTGACGCATGTGAGACGTGGGCCGGCAGCGGGAGCTGCAGCTCCACAGGCAGCCGGGGAGGCGACAGGAGAGGCAGTCCTGCTGGACACCGAGTGCCTGATCCTGCCCCCAGTGCTGTGGTCGGGTGGGTGACGCGTTTGCAGCACCGTGGTTTCTCACGGCGGGAGGGATGCCCCTACTTCGCTTGGGGCCCTGTGTGAGAGGCGGCTAACCAGACTGAACACAAGGCGGAGAAAACTCCTCTGTGATCAGGATGGGACAGCTTTCGTCGCCACATGGGCAGGGGAAGGAATGGCAAACCTTATGGAAAGAGGGCAGGGAACAACCCGCTCTAAACTGTGCACGGACACAGTCAGGGACAAGATTTCTGACGGCTGAGGCAGAAACACAGGGAGCAGCAGCAAAGCCCTTCCCTGCTCAGCTCTGCGAAGGGGCTGTGTGCCGTCATGGCCTGCCCGGACCTCCCTGGAGGCTGCAAGCCCCGGAGCAGCCTGTTCAAAGGGTCCTGACCCACGGCAGGGCACAGGGGAGGCACGAGTGAGGGCTCTGCCCAGAACCGCCTCCGCCCCCGAGCGTTGGCAAAGGCTCTGTGCCGCATCTGGGTCAGGGCAGCGCTTGTTATTCAGTGCCTGCCCTGACCCAGATGGTGCAGCAGCTCTGCCAGCCCCCTCCAAAAACACCGAGAACATTTTGCACACAAACAGCCTTTGAGAGGCCCTGGCAGGGATAGGGGG